ACATCATACGAGGGAAAGTGGCTTTTTCCTTGGTTAGCTTTACTTGAAGTTGATCATGAGACTCTTTGAGGCTAGCATGAGTACCCTTCAAGACCTTGTGAGCCTTGTCAAGTAGATCAAACTCCTCTTTGAGTCTAGCAAGATCAACCTCAAGTTCGGCCTTCTCGGAGTTTAGCACATGAGAAACAATGAGGACATGATCATAATCTTTCTTTAACTTAGGATGATCAACGTTGTGTGACTCCTCAAGAGCTAAATGAAGACCACACTCTTCCTCAAGAGCATTGGAAAGATCTGAAATCTCATCAGCATAGTCACGACTATGCCCTTCCATCTTAGTGATGGTGTCTTCGTGAGCCTCGATCATGTCATTGGCTTCACCAAGTTGTTCCAAGAGAGCAACAAAGTGCTTCTTGGATTTTCCCTTGAGTTTGCCCATAAAGGCCTCAAACTCATTAGCCTCCACATTAGCTTCCTCAAGTTCATTAATGCTATCGGTCGGAGAAGGATGATTAATGATGGTAGTTTTGATGTTGGAGGTTACCTTGTTGGTGGCTTTAGCCATGAGGCACTTGGCGGTGATACTCTCATTGGGTGAGTCGAAGAGAGACACCCGTGGAGTCGTCGCAATGGCAACGGAGGCCATGGCAACCGACTCATCACTTTCATCATCGTCATCATCCTCATTGTACTCTTCTTGTACCACCAATGCCTTGGGAGGATTCTTCTTGATGAAGTTGCTCTTGTTGGGGAACAACTTGGCCTTGTCCTTTCGGATGAGCTTGCCACCATTGTCTTCCCTCTTCTCATACGGACACTCCGCAACAAAATGACTCACGTTGTCACAATTGTAGCAAGTCCTTACACGTTGCCTGCTCTTCGTGCCACTTGAGTTGTTTTTGCTAACGTTTGGCCTCGAGTTTTTCTTGCTCCAAAATTGCCTTGAAGCAAGTGCCATGTGTTCATGATACGCATACTTTGTATCTTCGGGGTTGCTCTCCTCTTCTTCCTCTTCTTCCTCTTCAACGGTGAGCTTGGCCTTCAATGCAAGGTTAGGCTTCTTTGCCCTTTGAGAATGAAGCACCACATTTTCGGTGGTCTTGTCCAAAATGTTCATGGCCACAAATTCATCCAACACTTCGCTTGAGGTCAAAGTGTGGAAGTCCGGTCTTTGACGAATGACGGAGGACATGGCCTTGTGATAGGGCATCATTGCCTTGAGGAATTTGCGCTTGATCCAATTCTCATCCGTGTCCTTGCTCCCGTGATCTCGTAGTGAGACCGCGAGTTTGGTTACTCTCCGATAAAGCTCACAAGGTTCTTCATCTTCTTTCATTGCAAACTCATCGGCCTCATCTTGCACCACTTCATAGTTGGAGCATTGGATGCTTGCGCTACCCCGGTAGAGAGAGACAACACAATGCCATGCATCTTTGGCCAAGGCGAAGGGACGGAGATGAGGTAGGTCTTCGGGTGGAATTGCATCTTGAATGATGAAGAGCGCATTCTCATTGAATTGATTATCCGCGGCTTCTCGAGGAGTGAAGTTGCTTGGATCATGCGGATAGAAACCTTCTTCAATGATTCTCCAAAGGTTAGTGTTCACATGATTTAAATGACATTTAAAGCGGTAAACCCAAGAATCAAAGTCCTCATTTTTCACAATCTTAGGGGGAGGACCGGCATGATTCAAATGAGTAGAAGGAACCGATCCACCATAAACAAGTGGTGGTTCCACATGAGCAAAGATGCCGGTGCCATTTTTACCACTAGAAGAAGGAGCCTTTTCACTACTAGCTTCCCCCTTGTCGGGGATAGCATCCGTCACCTTGTCGATGGGGTCAGCCACTTTCAACGGTGCGGTGGAAATTTTAAGCCCCTCAAGAAATTTAGTAAACATGCTTTCAACCTCGGTCGACATGGAGGTCTTCAATGTCTCTAAGGCCACATTGAACTCCTCATGAGAGACCGAGGTTCCCCCATCGCCCGTAGACGAGATTGGATTCACACCGGAGTGTTCCTCCACACCGTCTATGGTATCAACCATACTCTTTGGACGGTAAAATCCTTAATAAAGAGACGAGGCTCTGATACCAATTGAAAGGATCGATATGGTTGACTAGAGGGGGGGGGTGAATAGGCAACTAACAATTTTTAGCTTTTCTTTAACAATTTAAACTTTGCATCAAAGTAGGTTGTCTAGATATGCAACAAGGATAGGAACACAAGCAAAGCAAGTGATATGAAACAAATAAGCTTGCACAAGTAAAGGCACGAGATAACCAAGAGTGGAGACGGTGGAGACGAGGATGTGTTGCCGAAGTTCCTTCCCTTTGAGAGGAAGTACGTCTCCGTTGGAGCGGTGTGGAGGCACAATGCTCCCCAAGAAGCCACTAGGGCCACCGTATTCTCCTCACGCCCTCACACAATGCGAGATGCCGTGATTCCACTATTGGTGCCCTTGAAGGCGGCGACCGAACCTTTACAAACAAGGTTGGGGCTCTCTCCACAACTTAATTGGAGGCTCCCAACGAAACCACGAAGCTTCACCATAATGGAATATGGCTCCGAGGTGACCTCAACCGTCTAGGGTGCTCAAACACCCAAGAGTAACAAAATCCACACAAGAAAGTATGAGGGAAGCAAATATCCTTTGGTGGAAGTGTAGATCTAGGTCTCCTCCTTCAATCCCTAGCAAATCAACAAGTTTGAGTGGCTAGAGAGAGAGATCGGGCAAGAGAGCTTGAAGTGCATTAATGGTGGAGTGAGAGAGGTCCAAGGTGAGAGTGGTAGGTGGGAGAAGCTCACTTATATAGTAACCCTCGATTCCAACCGTTACTGTGTTTTTTGCACTGCAGCGGTACAACCGGTCCTCGTCCCGGTACAACCGGGACTCACGGTGTATCTGCAGAACCCTACCAAGCGGTACAACCGGACAGGCGGGCGGTAGTACCGGCTAAGAAAAATAACCGGACTAACCGCCTGGCCACCGCACAACCACCGCATCAAAACATGAGCTTGACCGGTACTTGGGCGGTGCCTGGCCGGAACAACTGCATGGCCTTGATCTCTTGGGCGGCTAAGTTCTGAGCGGAAGAACCGCTCGGACCACCGGTGGTACCGGTCATCGTGGAACGACAGGACCAACCGGACCACTACCGCCCAAGAACCGCATCAAAACAGAAGCGCGAGCTGTACTTGAGCGGTGCATGGATGGAACCACCGCCCCAGCATTTGCAGAGCATGGTGGCGGTACCACCGCCCGGAGGCAGCGGTACAACCGCTCGAGTAAAGCTGGTGAGCGACAAGACCCAGCGGTACAACTGCTCCAGAGAGCGGTACAACCGCTGGGCAGAAACAGTGAGCATGAAGGATAGGGGAAGAGACAAGGAAAAACTCTCTCTCTCTCTCTCTCACCTGAGGAAGACAAAGGAGGGGTGATGAACGTGTACGTGAAAAGATTCCCCCAGTGCTTTCTAATGAGGATTCCCTCTTGATAGTACGGGTTCCCTACGACCAAAGAAAATAAAAGCGTAGAGGACACGTCTTCGATATTTTCCTACGAGAGGCAATAGCAATCCGATGTAAGCCTAAGCATCGAGAACCTGAAACGTATAGCACACGATTAGACCAACAAAGGGTTGTCATCATCATCCAAAACATAAAGTAGAGAAATGCCCTTTCAGTATAAAAACTATAGATTTGCAGTATAAGCTACCAATAATAATCACACGCGTAACACATAGATTTAAATGACTTGCCATTGGGACACATGGAAAATATCAACGCGAATCATATATGAATCAGATTCATGTGGGGAAACAAATGAGAATATGAGATCCTTCATAGGGGAAACACATTTAGCATCATTTTTATTTCATTAGCAGCTTGGTTTATCGTTGCATGCATTGAAGGAAAAACTAGATAAAGGGAACTTCTCAACACATGACGACATGTTAAGATGCAAACTTGATACATAAAATCAATGTATTTACAATTAATAACAATCGCAAGCCATAACAACTGTTCAATGATATCGTTTTTTATAAGTGTCATTGAGGCATTCTTTGATCGACTATCAAATGGCTGACGAGGGGCTAACTGAACTTGTCATTTCAGACCATACTATAGATGCAATACTTTGGCTATTCTGGCTCTTCGATATGTTCAATCATGATGAACTTGCTCGGGTGCTGGTACTTGTTACACGATGATGAGTTCCAAAGTCCTTTGAGCACGTCAAGATTTGTAAACAAATTTCTTAACAATCTTCAATTGGCACCTGCATGAAAATCTCAAAACAGGCTTGTGTGTAGCTTGCTTCCAAAAGGCAGTTGACTTCTGCCATATAAAGATGTTGCGAAGATCTACGTCGATGGGGGACTCTCCAGGTGCCTTCGCTATGCAACCATTCTTCAGGGGGTAGATCAAGGTCAAACTTCTTTCAAGAAGGTTTCTTTTGGCCATAAAAAGCGGGATAACAATGACTTAGGCACATGCTCTAGCTAAAGCCTCTTCTTCTCTTTTCATTGGGTGCCATGTTTGGCTTTCTACTTTACTTGATATCATTTGTATATGACTTTTTTTTAGAACGTATGCCTACGAACTTTGAGATCTGAATAAAGCCCGCTCTCTAACAAAAACATATTTGCCTTCTCGAGTTGAGATTTTTTTGGAGCTCAGAGTTTTCTTTTTCTTTTTGAGTGGAGAAATCGAGCTCAAATTGATGCCGTGTAGTCCATTTGGGTGACAGAAGCGTATACGTAACTGGGCCGGAATGCGAATTCCCGTCGGAGTTTGGACCCCCAGTCCGGCTCGAGGGCCAAGCCCCAAAACCTGGGCTTATGAAGCCCAGCCATCGTAAGATGCACACCCACGACTCTGGCCGTTAACTCGACCGAAGCGATTTCGCACTTGGCCTCTTCCTCCCTCCGCTGCGCCCCACTCCGCCTCCGCCAAACCGCAAGCTAGGGTTTCCGCCTCGACGCGGAGGGCTCGCCATGGATGCCGCCGCCCGCAAGAGATCCCGGCCGGAGTCCGCCAACGGAGGCGCCGCAGGCGGGAAGCGCTCGAGAGGTAACGCGTCGCTTTCTTCCCCATCTCTCCCCGCCCCCCTCGTACGCTTTCTAGGTCCCGTCGTCAGGTCTCGCCCTGTCGTGTAGCTCCTGCCGCTGGATCTGCAGCCTCGGCGCTCTCTAGGGTACCTCTAGGTTCTGGTCCGCGAGCGTGGAGCGAGTGAGCGTGTCGTGCCGTTATCCCCTGTATAAGATAAGATTTGCCTGCATCTTACTTGACAGTATTCATGTGCGGAAGTATCCATGCTCTAGTGCCGGCAAATCCCTGCGGTAGGTTGATAATTATGCCAAATCCATCGGATGCCCTCTTCGCGCCGGTACAGCTCCTTGCGGTCGAGTGGAATTAAGACCCACCTGCATCGTGTCTCATACCGTAATGAAATACCTATCAAGGACAGAAAAAATAGCTTGGCAACCGAAAGCTGAACCAACTCATCTAAGAGCAGGATGTACTAAAAAGTTGGATCAAGGCGAGGTTTCTTTGAAAAGAAGGAAAGAACATGTGGGAAAGGTGATGATGATGGGAAACAAATTTGGAAAAGCAAAGCACCTGCTTTTGCTCAAAATGGAATTGGAGGAGTCCATTACAAAAAAAGAAACATGTTAAACATCATTCATGAATGTTATGATCTGTTTCTAGTTGTCGTCTTTCAACAATATGCAGTGTGAGTGTAACCATGACCATTTTCTGCAGGATAAGCACCAGTGAATATCATCTTTATCTTATCTAAAATTATGTCCATTCATCAAATTTATTGGACACAAATTGTACATGTTTACTTGAATAGAAGATCAACAATGCAACTTCTAACAAGTGGAAAAATGTAATTAATTTCATGCAACAGAATCGGAGTCACAACAAACTGGTCTATCAAGCAAATCGAAGCCTTGCACCAAGTTTTTCAGGTTCAAATCTTAACCTATCCAAAATAACATCAGAACGGTACCTTCTAATTTTTACTGTGTATTACAGTTAAGAATTAAATTCTCCCCTGCTACTTTTATTTTTGGTGCAGAAGCTTTACGGATTGTTGCAAATTGTAATTCATGCACAGCAATGTTGCCAACTGATCAAAGTATATACATTTAATATTTTTCTTTCATAGTGTTCAAATAAATAAGATAATAACAGTACCACAATCCACATTTGTTGTATGTTTTTTTGTTCTCTAGATAGGACCTTCTCTTTCTCTATTACTTGGTAATTGAGTCTGCACTAACATGCTTTAGTTCTGTTGAGTAATGAAAGCATCCTTTTAAGCACATACATATACATATGCTATATGCAGTATTGTGGTCTCTGTGAATCTTGTTTGAATCTTGCACCTGCCTGGATTCCTATATACTGAAAATTGTTAGACAGGATTTCATGCAACTTTACAATTATGTTTCTGTTATTATGTCAATTTGGGCCATTTGCACTGATAACATGTAATACATGTGATCTTCTGCCTTTGGTAGCACTGTTATCTTGTTATGAGAACTCTTCTGCCTTGGTATACAGTTCTACAACTGTCCTTTGTAACAAGTCTCTAAGTTTGCTCAGTTCTCATTACTTACTATATTTGTTATTGCAAGATCAGTACATAATCTGTATTGTTTTGAATGATGCAGCACTGTTGGGTGCCCCTTTGGTGAGGGCTGTCACTTCGCGCACTTTGTCCCTGGTGGATACCAGGCAGTATCAAAATCACACAGCCTAGGCCATGCTGCTGTGTCTGCACCGTCAAGAGCTCCAGCGGACCATGCTGCTTCTGGTGTCAAAACACGCATGTGCACCAAGTACAACACTGCAGAAGGCTGCAAGTTTGGTGACAAGTGCCATTTCGCCCATGGCGAGAGGGAGCTTGGCAGGCCACCATCCTCCTACATGTCCCAAGAAAGTTCCTATGCTCCTCCTATGGGTGGTCGATATGGAGGTCGACACGAACCACCTCCGCCAGCTTCGATGGGTCCTCCTGCTGGAAACTTTGGCGCCTCGTCTACCTGCAAGGTCAGTGTTGACGCCGCTCTCGCCGGAGGCATAATCGGGAAGGGCGGGGTCAACACGAAGCAGATCTGCCGCATCACAGGGGTCAAGCTCTCGATACGTGACCACGAATCAAACCCAGACCTGAAGAACATTGAGCTGGAAGGCAGCTTCGACCAGATAAAGCAAGCCAACGACATGGTGCGTGATCTCATTGCCAGCATCAGCGCCAGCACCCCGTCGAAGAACCCAGCCAGCGCAGCAGCCCCCGCAGGCCGAGGCGGTGGCGGCGGCGGGGGCGGGCCTGGAGGCAGGAGCAACTACAAGACCAAGATATGCGAGAACTTCCTCAAGGGCACCTGCACTTTCGGCGAGCGCTGCCACTTCGCCCATGGCGAGACCGAGCAGCGGAAGGGTGCCGCCGTCTGATGACACGGCTGCTGCGGTTGATCCTCGCTCCTTCTTGTGCTGCTACTGTGACTATTCTGTTCTCCCTTGCTGCTGGCTCTAGGTGATTAGGCCTGTTGTATTTTGGTTCTATGGATTGTGATAAGATTCAGCTTTTTTGAATGAAATATGGTTCAGAACTTTCTTGCTGTCATCCCAGTCTAGTTAAGTCGCCTTTTGAGTTTTCTTTCTCCTTGTGCGTTTTATTCGGTTCTAGCTTCCGCGGTCCATTGCTGTGGTGATTACCCAGCTGTGTTGACCACAGACGGGTCACTGATTTCACTGTGCTCTTATGATGCCTGCATTTGCAAACGTAATACGTACTTCCTTGTTCTTCTCAAGATTTGATCAATTTTATCGAGAAAAATAGCAAAATCTACCAATACGAAATTTAGTATAATTAGATTCGTCCATCATAAGATATGTTTTCATGTTTTATTTATTTGGTCACTATTGTAGATCTTGAGAGTATTTTTTTATATAAACTTGGTCAAACGTAAAAAGTTTGACTTTTGAAGTAGTGTACGCCAGTGGTGTCAATGACATGTGGGACCAGTTACACCTGCGAAGGTCATTTCTCTCTCCTTGTTCTACGTGGACTGGCCTACACAGCACAGCGCTTCCAGCACCACCACGACATCTCGAGCTCCTCTCTCCTCCCCTCGGCTCACGCACGGCAAAGTCGCCTCCTCCGGCATGGCCGCCGCCGCCGCAGCGACGCTCGCCCCGGTCTCCCCTCCGCTGCTGCCCGCCGTCCGCGGTCGCCGGGACGGCCAGCTGCGCCTCTCCCCCCGCCGCGCCGCCGGGTGCCGCTGCAGGGCCACGGCGCAGTTCCAGGGCGGCCCCGCCGCCAGCTACGCCCGCGAGATGGAGCGCCTCTCCGCCAAGGAGTCCCTCCTCCTCGCCGTGAGCCTCCTCCCCCTCTCCTGTTCCCCTTCCTCGCAGAATGAATGGCTACGGCCTGCCCCGTACTGCCGTGCTGGTCTGGTCCATACGAATCGTATCCACTGCCCAGTGCTGCTGCCGATTTGGCTATTAGTAGTTTCTCAATAAGCCAATTGTGCCCAGCGGAAGTCACTTTTGCACAGCTTTCGATTTGATTAACGAGTAAACGCCTCGATTTTGCAGAGCCCACCGAATCATGAGCTTAGTAGCGTTCGTGTCTGCATGTTGACAGTTGGGTTCTGCATTCACGGTCTGAGTATGTAAACTGCTGCCCATTTCAGTTCAGGGACTCTGGAGGCTTCGAAGCCTTTGTTAGCGGCAAGACCACGGAGATGCAGAAGATCGACGTCAATGAGCGCATCGTCGGCCTCGAACGCCTCAACCCCACTCCTCGTCCCACAACGTAAGCGCTGCAGTTCTCAACAGGCAAACTATCATCAAAATAAGTTGGAGATGCTAACATGATGTTCAGTTTAGGAACCAATGACTTCCATTCATCTCCGCATTTACATGTCCCATATCCATGAGGAACTCCCATCATTTCTGACTAAAACAGTTATGTTGTATGGACATTTCGTTGGTCCTTGTTCATTAATCATATGTTTCACTTTTCAGATCACCCTATCTGGAAGGTCGATGGAACATTGAATGGTTCGGTGATAGCAGTCCGGGAACATTTGCATCCAAGCTTTTGTTTGAGTACGCCACTATTTCTGGATGCAAGTTACATTACAATGAACTCACCATTTTAATTAGAGCTCTCCTTACTTTATTCTCATGAGAATGAGTTACATGGTTTCTTAAAAGTTATCTTTTCATGGTGTGTTGCAAATACATAAATCTAAATTGATCTTTCCCTGACAAAAATGTGTATCACATAGCGAGTATGCTCTTTTCGTAGGCGGTCACCTACAATTGTCGCACACTTTACGGGGCTTGATGTGGTGATCAGGGATGGCTACTGCAAAATTTCCTCGAACGTCAAGCTCTTGAATACGGTAATTTCAAAAGTTGTGGAAGCTGCCTACAACCCTTGTGCATTTTTGGATCTATCTTTACAACTACCTCATGTTCGCAATGTTTGTGCCATTTATATACCTGCCTACAGCATGCATAGCTATTTTTTTCTTCAAATGAAATTATGAGAAGTAGCTCTTGTAATGTGGCAAGATACCAAGATCCCACGTTCATACTAAGGCATTGCTGGCAGCCATTTATCTGTCTTATCCAGGAGCTGTACATTTGTATATGACCATGTTGAGTTCTGTTGTTCCATTCATGTCTCACAGTTTACCGCCTTTTTGTGTATGCAGATACAAAACAGATTTGTTCTGACCACTCAACTGTCCGTGGAGGGGCCTATCAGGATGAAAGAGGAATACGTCGAGGCATTTTTGGAAACCCCCAAAATCAGTGAAGAAACACTACCTGAACAACTGAAGGGCTTACTTGGACAAACTGCAGGAGCTCTACAGCAACTTCCTGCCTCTATAAGAGATGCTGTTTCGGAGGGGGTTAAGTTACCTCTTAGTAAGTACATAAGGCTTGATTTATAGACTTCTTGTTACTGCATCACTTTTCCAGTTTTATTAGGACATACTGCCAATTCATACAATGCAACCGCAGGATTTATTACTGACCTTTTCTTGTTAGAAAACTGCTACTTGCTTCAATACATTTGTAATCACTGATTTTTTTTGCCAAAAATATTAAATTATTGGAATGCTGCCTTTTGTTTCTTCCAAAATTTGACTTCCAACCATGACAAGAGAGGAATGCTCACAGTATTCATGACATCACGGTAGCTAGTTCTCTCTATCCATGTTGTCCATCTGCAATACTTTTGTCTACCTGCAGTATTTAGTGCACCATCACAGGATGGTTCAATATAGTTATGCTATTTTTCATTCTGTGATGCCATGAATCTTTAATAATTGTCATGTACTATGTTACATGGATTGATTAGTTCCGTTGCATGGCCCCTTTTTTTTAATTACAGATGGGATGTACCAGCGCTTATTCATGATTTCCTACCTTGATGAAGAAATACTGGTATGTTTATCAGTTTATCACACACTAAAGCGAACACCAAAATCATATCATGATAACATGCATTTGCACCTGTGTACATTACACTGTGACCACCATCCATCTTGGAAGTAACCCCTTGGTTTTATCTACTGTATGAACTAACAGAAAAGATGGAATCAGTACTTTTATAGCTTCTGTATGAACTAACAGAAAAGATGGAATCAGTACTTTTATAGCTTCCACGCTTGAGTTGTACCATACAGTATGTCTTAAGTGTCACATGTTGGACATAGTTACTGGACTATGCCTAGTTCTTTTAGAGAAAATATACCTGATTCTATACTTAGCTCATAAACGCATAAATGTCAAAGAAAATAAAAGCTGATGACATACTGAGTTTGAGTGCTGCACAGATTTAGCATCATCATTTTATCTAGACAATTGAAATGAAGGCTCTTAATCCGCTGAAGTACCAGTCTATGGTATCTTCTTGAGAATGTTGAGCATCCCGTAAGCAAGACCAGAAGAAAAAATGCACATATTTGTCAGTTTTTGTTGTTAAAAATCATCGATAAGATGCCAGATTTATGGCATATATCAACGTCATTTGCAAGTTTAAGATGCTGATAATCTAATCAGCCTACCAATACAGTTGCGTCAGTTCGATCCTCTCTTCTAGACAAGTCAATCTAATCATGTTGCACAAAGTACAGAATGAATGGTTTGAAATCTCATATTATCCGTCCTACTAGTACAGTATTTTGGAAGGATTGAAAAGCCACAACTTCTCATGGTTGTTCTGTCTTCTCATTTAGATTATCCGAGATGCTGCTGGAGCACCTGATGTCCTGACAAAACTGGAAGGGCCGCAACCAAATCCAATGGAGAACACGCCAGACGTAGTGATTCCTGAATATCAAAGCTAATGTTTGGGTACTAACCGGAGCACTATGGTTAACTTTTTCGGAGATGTCTTTTCTTTCTTGCCATTTTCCAGGTTTTCGCATACATGAAAAAGCAGTGCATATGTTAGCAGCCACTTGAGTGTGTAAATTCAAGCTCCTTTTTGCTGCTGGCTAGAGTAGTTACTGCTATCCTGGAGCTGAGCAATACTTGCGCACTCAGATGCAATCAAAAATTAGATATGCGAAATGGGCAGTGAATAACTCTGAACTGTAACTTGTTTTGTTCCATATAATTCCAGCACCCAGCTTTGCATCGGCGCAAATGACACCAAGGTAAATTAGCTCGGTATGCTATCTCAAATTCAAACATCCAGCAGGAAGATGAAATGTGGATCATGAGGCCATTGTACTGTAATTTTGGGCCGATGATCTACGGCCATAGTATCTACAATCTTCCCTTGTTCGATTGCATCAGGAGTAATTATCACAGTATAAGCCGTCATTCCTCACAGGCTTGAGGAGGGCGTTCTACCTGAACTGAAGAATGCTTACTTCCTCGGGAGAAACAGTCTTTTATTTTTGAGATATCGTGTGGACATCGCGACCATCCTGTACGTGCGCGCAGCGCAAGGTCTGTTAGTCCTGCACCTAACCACTCCTGACAGGCTGACGCTGCAAAGAATTCTGCCATGTCTTCCTCCATCGTCAGTTCAGATTTCAGAGCATGCGCACCTACCTCTCCATCTCTCTATCTCCCTCTAGTTCACCCAGAAGAAAGATACAAACAAGGAAGGATGGAATCAGACACGCAATGCCGTCGAAACAACCAAACTAATCTGCCATTTCCATTCCAAGTGCGGGTTCAAATTTGAATAACACAACTGAAATATCAACAAACTGGAGAAGTAACAGACGCAGGAAACCCAATTCTATAACTTAAAATTCCAGGCCGAAATGGGGGATCTCTGTTAACCGTCACCATCCTCTGCAGCAACAGCGGGGGGCAAAAGTTCTCGGACTTAGCTCTAACGGGGGGCGCGCCGCTGACCGATCAGAGACTAAAGCCATCCGCCGAGGAGGAACTCGTCGAGGTCCTGGAAGAAGGCGTCGTTCGTCGCCGTGCCCCCCGCCTCCCCGAACCCGCCCTCCGGCGACGCGGCGTCCTCCTCCTTCACCTCCGCCTTGACGGTCCCCCCCGCCGCCGCCTCGGGGGCGACCGCGACCGCGACGGACGACGAGCCGCCTGCCGCCGCCTGCTGCTGGGACGACGACTCCGCCGCGGCGCTCTCGGGCGACCGCGACGAGGACGACGAGGACGCCCCTCCGCCGACCCCGCCGCCTTTCGGCTTCCCGGTGAGGCGCTGCACGAGCTCGCGGAAGTGCCGCGCGTCCGTCTTGATCACCTCCGGCGCCAGGACGTGCACGATCCTGATCTTGCGCGGCGGGCCCTTGGCGATGGGGCGGGACCACCGGTGCGCGCCCATCGCCGACGACGGCGCCGGCGCGGCGTGGGACTGGAGCTTCACGGCGGGGGAGTGCGGTGCCATTCTCTTGTCGCCTCCCGATGCGAGAAACGGACGGGAGGAAGACGGTGGTGGCTTTAGGGAAGAGGGCTGTGGCCACAGGGGGTTTATATAGACCCGCCCTGGGCCCTGCGCCGTTGGATGCTGTGGGTTTCCTCCATCCGACGGCTGACGTTGAGACGTGCGTAATATTTGGCACTGATTTAATACGTCCTGTGTATTTTTAGCACTACAAAAATATAGGCCTAAAGAATTTAATGCCTTCCTTTTTCTACATACGCGCTCAAATGGATTTAATTCCTCTCGTTCGCGTCCTAATAAAACTAGCGCTTGTGGGATAACACGTAGACGATTTTATGACTATGCTTTTAGATTAAGAAAAATACTTTGGTAGTCCATTTATGATTAGACTAAGTAATATACACTCCATGATGTTTATTATAAAACTATGGTTATTCTGTTATTAAAACTATGGCTCACTGTCTTTTTCTCTAACCCTAAATGGCTAGGGCAAATTCTTTTCTCCAAACTTCGTCAGCGAGTCCGTGGATTCGCCTCCCCTTTGCCTGTCCCTTTGGTGGCCGGTGGCGGGCAGGTGAATCCAGGTCTCTCTGGTTCGGTTAGTAGTTTAGATTAGGCTACTTCTTCAAGTTTGCTTCCTGGCTCCAATCCTCCTCGAGTTCGCCCGTATGGACGTAGTTGACGGAGTTCCGACATAGATTCATATTGTCTTTTGGGGTAGTGAGGTTTGGTTTTCTCGTCTTGTGGCGAGATTTGGTGTCAGGTGCTTCAGTTCTATGCAAGGGATCAACGGCGACGACTGCAGCTCCAGGGCGCTGGCCCTTAGGGGCACGTGCACGAAGACTTCCCGACTGTCATTGACAAGGTCAAGTCGGCTCCGGTAGAGGAGCGGCGACAGCGGCGCATCGACGGCTCGTTCTGGCGGCAATAGTGATTGCTTGGGGGTCCTGAAATTTCAATGTAATTTAACTATGTTCGAGATGCTTTGTATATCCGTTGAACTTTGATAATAGATTTGAACCATTTTAGTAAAAGAATATTATAACTCCAGCTACCAAGTAGGTTAACCTTTTAGTCTTTGCATGGCGGCCCTCAGACGAATGTCGGCGCTTTTTTTACGAGTCGGTCTTCTGGACTTTGGTCCTTCTCAAGTTCGTCTGCCAGGCCGGATTAGACGAAGCTCCGACGTTGATTCTGTCAGCTACTCAAGACAATAAGGTTAGGATTTCTCGTTGTGCGTATAAAACAACGAGATTTGATGTCAGGGTTTTCGAATCGATTTAAGGATTTAGCGGCGACGACTATGACTCGAAGGCGCTGGTCCTTAGCGACCCTTGCACAAAAACTTTACGGTTGTCATCAAACAGGGTCAGATCGGCTCCGATATAAGAGCGACGACAGCGGGACGGCGGCGGCAGTGGTCATTTGGTAGCCCAGGGACCTTGATGTATCTTTTATTATGTTTTGAATGATTTGTGTGAATTTTTATAATAGATCAAAGTATATATATTTTTTGTAAAAAGTAATATTTACTGAACTCCGAAGTGCTACAACTGATTTCTTCCTTATCCTTATATAGAAAAAAAGGAATGTCAGAGTTGCAGAGTAACCGACGCAGCATATTCGTTTTCAGTACCTGCGCCTTTGGAATGGATCGGAGGATTATCCATATCCAGGTCAGGTACTACACTGTTCTGGAAAACCCCACCATATAAATTTAGTTAATTGCATCCTTAGCATTTCCGCTCTCCTGTTTTGGACCGTTATAGAAAGCAGATTTTTTTTTTGCGGGTGATAGAAAGCAGATTATTTGCAACGTGGAACCAAAATCGGAAGCCGATTATTTGCTAGCCGGAATGAAAATGGACGCTCGTGCATGCCGTCGGAAATCCCTTTTTTTAACACTTGACATAGGAAATCAATGTTTCATGTTCTTCTTTGACCCCCTCCTCTTTTCTTTTGAGGATATATATAGAAGCAAATTATTTGCTCCCTGGAACAAAAATAGGAAGCCGATTATTTGCTACGCGGAACAAAAATGGACGCCCTGCATGCCGTTGGAAATCCTTTAAAAAAAAAGACAAGTGACATAGAAAATCAACGTTGCATATTCTTTTTTGGACACAGTACGCTCTCCTGTTTTTTTTGAGGGTTACGCTCTCCTGTTTTCGACCGTTATAGGAAGCATATTATTTGCTACATGAAAAAAAATAGGAAGCCGATTATTCGCTGCACGGAACAAAAATGGACGCTCGTGCATGCCGTCGGAAATCCTTTTTTCTTTAACACGTGACATAGGAAATCAATTTTGCATGTTCAGTACTAAGGTTTATTTTATATTTTATGTTCAGTGATAAAGTTGCCAGGAAATACTATTACATTATCTTAGTGCTCAATCTTCTGTTTATTTGGTATTCCCTCTCTTCCATTATATAAGACGTTTTTGCAAGCAAACATATTCACACAAAAAAGTGGTATTATAAGGTACGGACTCGCGTTCGAGTAGGACACATGTATCCTAGTAGGTATTATGTATAATATGGAGGGTAGATACACGATGTAATCCATGCCAATAAAATAAAAGAGACATGCAGGGGATGCCGGTGGCGTGTACTAACACTTGGGTGGTCGGTGTGTGATATTGTAGTGGAATAAATGGGGAGAAGCACCCGCAATCATGCTCGGGAACCGGGATGTAGCCGAGCTTGGGTGAACATCATTAATAAATCTTTTGGTGTTGTGTCTCGTGTGATTGCTTGGCTGGTAAACTAGTGTGCACCGACACATCCCCCCACCGACTACCAATAGAGAGGTGAACCGGACCAAGACGAAGCCAGGCCTCCAAAGCGGTGCCTCCAAGAAGGATACGACCATGGATAGCCGCCACCGCCCGATCAGCGAAGATCAGGTTTTCACCCGGAGCAAGACGACAAAAGTGTGAACGCCACGACGGAGCCTTTAGGAAGGGTACGACGGCAACGACCACTACCACTGTTGGCCAGTCAAAGGACTGGACAAGTGGTGTACCCGGCACTCACACCCCACCGATGAACCTTAACTCTGTCAACCGCCCGCAACCACGCCACCCATGCGGCCATGTTTGCATGCCCGCACCTGAGATGCATGCTCCGCCCACGAACGTCGCGCCTCCCGCCGCCAGAGCCGCCGCCCTGCAACCAGACAACCCGAGACCTACACAAAGGCCCCAGCTTTGGACCAACCGATGGCCCTCGACCGACGGAACCACCCACAAACGCTCCGCTGGTAAACCTGCGCCAACCCGCCCGCGACCGAGGAAAGGGGGAGAAAGGGGAGCGGACAAATCCGGACCGGCAAACCATGACGGCGACAGGTGACGCGACCGCATCGAGATCACCTATCCCTCCTACCAAGCTCCCTCACGAGCACCCCCATGTCGCCCCACCATGGTAGCTGACACACATCTTCGCGAGGCCATCGGCAACTGCGAGCCCGCTGACGAGGGAGACCAAATCAACCCGCAGCTGCAGCCATGGAAGCTCACCGGAGATGCCTCCTCGCGCCGTCCGGCGACGTCCGAGCGCCAGACCAGGAAGGTTCCGACGCAGACTCGACCAACACGCCCCGCCAGCCACCACCACTGCGCCGCCACCCCCACTAGCTCGAAGCCATGGCAGGGGCGGCCGCCCGCAGATCCTTGTCGCCCGCGACCCGCACCACCGCAGCGCCAAGCCAGGAGCCAGCCCAGGCCACCGGAGCCCGCCACCGACGCCCTGCCTCGTCGCAACCACCACCACACCAGATCCACTCGCCGCCCCCGCCGCTCCACGCACCGGCGCGCCACCGTCACGCGCAGCGCCAACACCACGCCGCCGCGCCGCAGCGCTGTTGGAAATATGCCCTAGAGGCAATAATAAAATGATTATTATATTTCCTTGTTCATGATAATTGTCTATTATTCATGCTATAATTGTATTATCCGGAAATCGTAATACATGTGTGAATACATAGACCACAATGTCTCCCTAGTGAGTCTCTAGTTGACTAGCTCGTTGATCAACAGATAGTCATGGTTTCCTGGCTATGGACATGGGGATGTGATTGATAACGGGATCACATCATTAGGAGAATGATGTGATGGACAAGACCCAAACCTAAGCATAGCACAAAGATCGTGTAGTTCATTTGCTGTAGCTTTTCTGGATGTCAAGTATCATTTCCTTAGACCATTGATAACCCACAAGTATAGGGGATCAATTGTAGCCTTTTTCGATAAGTAAGAGTGTCGAACCCAACGAGGAGCTAAAGGTAGAACAAATATTCCCTCTAGTTCTATCGACCACCGATACAACTCTACACACACTTGACGTTCGCTTTACCGGAAACAAGTACGAAACTAGAAGTACTTTATAGGTGTTGTTGGATAGGTATGCAAGATAATAGAGATCAAGTAAATATAAAGTAGGGGCTGTTTAGATGAAGACACAACTAAATTAGTTTTAGTAAAGAGCTTTTGTCAACAAGAAGGTTATTTGTCCCTAGGCAATCGATAACTAGACCGGTAATCATTATTGCAATTTTATTTGAGGGAGAGGCATAAGCTAACATACTTTCTCTACTTGGATCATATGCACTTATGATTGGAACTCTAGCAAGCATCCGCAACTACTAAAGATTCATTAAGGTAAAACCCAACCATAGCATTAAAGCATCAAGTCCCCTTTATCCCATACGCAAACAACCTACTTACTCGGGTCTGTGCTTCTGTCACTCATGCCACCCACCATAAGCAAATCATAAGCATATTGCAAACCCTACAGCGGGGATCCCTCACGCTTGCGCGACACGGAGAGCACCATAGGACAGCACCAATAATAAAACATACAACTCAAACCAATCACAATCATCAAATAGGCATTAGGACAAAACAGATCTACTCAAACATCATAGGATAGCCATACATTATTGGGAAATAATATATAGCGTTGAGCACCATGTTTAAGTAGAGATTACAGCGGGTAAGA